ATATATATAAAATTAAATGAATCTATGGAGCAGGCAAGGGCAGATAAGGGAACATAAAACCATCTATGGGCTTGCAGAGGTATGAAGACTGCTAATAATGGTAACTACCCTTATCGAAGATTTAGAATTTTAAAATGTTTACTGTAAGAGTGTTAGAGGGAGGGGCTAAAGATTTAAAGGAATGAAACACGATTTATTTATTTATTTATTTATTTATTTATTTATTTATTTATTTATTTATTTATTTATTTTTGGTACCGGGGATTTAACTCGGGCCCCTGCGCTTGCAAGGCAGGCCACAGAACCGCTGAGCTAAATCTCTGGCCCTTTGAAACACAATTTGGATGAAGGCAATGTCTTAAATAAACTATGAAAAACACGCAAAATTTACAGATGCAAGTTTGGAATGAGGTAGATTTTCCAGGAGGAAGGAGCAGCCTAAAACAAGTTCTGGAATAAAGAATTAACCAAATTTATTATTTTAAACATTGCTAAGTTTCTTTTCAGTAAGCCGTGGGAAAATACAACAATTCATGTGATACTAACTTGAAAATGTAAGTGGTCCAGGAATAAAATATGAAAATATTCAACTTTGGCAGATTGCCATCTTACACACACAAAGTAAAAGTGGATATCTTTGCATCTTAGAATTCCACACGAATTTTAAAGTGTGATCAATCTGTTTGGACTCACATTTTTTTGTGCTAATGGAGAACCTACTTAGGAATGGCAATTTGGTAAAAGGTATAAATTTTTTAAATGAATATGTGCTTTAGCCTAGAAATTTCCTAGCTAGAAATCTGTACTATTGGTACTGAATGCGTACAAAGATAAATGTAGATATATATTCACAACAAAATTGTTTATTTAAAATCTCTAGAAACTGTCTAAATGTCCATCAAGGGAGAACTGGATAAGTAATGTTACATTCTTATGTTAGAATGTTTTACAGTTATTGCAGGACTAAGTAGCCTCTATTACTGTGGGGAAAATAATTATAAAAATTGCTAAATAAAAAAGAAAATCTATACAAATATGTGCATAGAAAATTCCTAGTAAGGTACATAAGAAAATGCTCGTAGTGCTACCCTCTAACAATGGAAGTTGAAGGTTGCAAGATAAAGAGGGCCTTTTTGCATTTCACTCCATCATCCTCCATACTGTGTGAAATGTTAGACATAAACGCAGTGTTCTTTGAAAATACCTATAAATTGATTATATTATATTGAAAAAGTAAAGTGTTGGGGTGACATCATTTTTTGAAAAGAACAGAGCCCTCAATGGCATTTCTTTTAAATAATAACTTTGTAAATATGTCACAGATTACTGGATAATTTGAATCATATAATATGGTGTATGGAGCACTCAATTTTTAGAAGTAAAAAAATGAATACTGTCTTAGAGTACAAAGAAATAAAATTCTTTGAACTTTACATCAACCACAGAGCTGGAAGGGGTGGTGATGACATGAATTGTTCAAGAATGGCAAGTGAATATTCCTTGCAAATTTGATGACCAGGAATAGATATATTTCAATGCACCTAAAATATATGCTTATGTAATCAAGGAAATTAGCAAGAAATACTTCACAGAACTAGTAAAATATCCACATGGGCAATAGTAGAACAATGAACATTTACCACTTAATAAGGTCCTAAAGGAATTGAACTCATAATGGAGATGAAGATCCTTGGATCCATATCCTGGCTCTGCTGCTTACTATTTGGCTGACCTTGAGAATACTGCTGAAAAGGTGTAACCCTCAGTTTCACTAACTGCTACATTAATAATTAATTCGGATGCTCGTGAAATGACTAGCACATATTCTATAGTAATAGTAGCAATCATTATTTTATTCCTATATATCTTCTTGAAAGGCCGATTCCGGAGGTAATATCAACAGATGTTGGTTAAATGATGGAGAGATGGAGGGACAGAGAGCAGAGAGCGGGACAGTAGGGGGAGAGAGAGGCACACACATGGGGAGAGAGAGAGAAAGATGCAAGCTGTAGAAAATCTATATACTATTAAAAAATTGTATGCAATTTGTTTCATTTTTTTTAAAGATTACAGTATACAATAGTTTAGCCTTACAAAACATAAAATCCCTCTACTTTAGAAAATGTTCCTGTTACTGTATTGTTTGCTTTAAATGTACAAATAAACTTAATGGGGGGAAAAAAGAAAATGATCCTGTTTCTTGATCTAAACTTTGCCCCTTTTAATGTGTCTCTTTACACACAGAACTTCTCCTATGGTTTGTAGCAATCATTGCCTTTCGTTTGGAATTTATAACCTTCACAGAATTGAAGACAGTTGACATGTTGCCCTTTAGTCACCACTTAGCTAAAACACAGTGAGTTCATCTTTTCATTCTGTTCTCACACGTCAATCCTCCAGTGGTTTTTTTCAAAATCACTTTGTTACTCTTCTATGTATGCCTCCCAGCTTTCCCTTATTTTTCTATTAATGAGATGCCCCTGATGAAATTTGAGATCACAGATCAAGTGTCTCTGGAGCACAGAAAGAAACATTACCAGCCTCACCCTTCTGACTTGATGTTTGTATTTAGTTAAAATCCACAATTCCTTGTTTCGCTTCCATATCATAGCTCAGACCAACTTTCTCATATCCACTACTCTCCTGCTTCAATTTCTTCCCAGCAGCTTAGTTATATTGTCCTTAGCAAAATGAGATTGTTTTTCTTTTTAAAAATTAAGATTAATGTCTTCATATACCCTTCTCTCTTTATTAACCAGAGTTTCTCAAGGATTCTTATAACACAAGCATCAGATCAGTCAAGATTCCAGTAAGTAGGACATAGACAGCATGTTCAAATAAGATAACACCAAGAGGGTTTATTTACAGGGATCTATTTATAGAGCACAAGGTCTAGTGTGACACACTGAGGCTAGTGGCATCAGAGATACTACCATTCTTCAAGGGATTGAGAGGGGAAAAATTATCAAAAGTTGAAAGCAGAAAGTGACAGTTTATTGGTCAAAAACCTGGGCAGAAGACAGCCAGCTTAAGATGAACCTTGCCAGTAGTAACCTAGAAGGAGAAAGACACTGAATTCACTTCCCTTTCCTATGATGCTCACAAGGGTTACCCACCAGTCAGAGGGCATGGGGATTATTATATTTCATTTGGATTATGCTCCTGGAGGAGATAGCAGAGTAGAAAATGATGAAAAGAGTAGCAAGTAGCTTTGGGGGAGCAAATAGAAGATATCATTTATATGTTATATTCAGTCTTATAAATGTTATATAAATAGATGTAAATATTAAAATATATGTGTTCCTTCACATACGGTATGATTGAAATATATGGTTTTGATTTTTAAAATTTACTGCTTTAAAAAATAATCGCTATTAATCTCCCTTGAAATACCCCTCCTTCCTTCTAACATGTTATCCCATCATTTTTGCCACTTTTTGAAGCAGTTTGGGAGTTTTGTATCTTTAGGAAGTACAATCAAATCTACAGTGCATTCCTAGGAAAAACACTACAGTGTGTCCTCTTCCACTTTGTGTTCACTGGATCTGACGCTCTGCGACTTCCAGGTCTTCCCAAAGTCTTAATCACCACGAAGATAAATCTTCTGAGTTGATTCAGGACAGCAAGGCAGCCACAGCAGGTTGCTGGCTGATATTGAAAAGGACTGTCACAATTGCTTCCGAAAATGGCAGGAATGACAGGATAAGTGTATTTGAAGTGAGGAGCAGTATTCTGAGGGGGATTAAGGGAAGTATACCTTTTACTGAAATGAATTTATTTTAAATTTAAATATTTACCATATTTTTCTTTTCTTATTTAACAAAACAACAAATAGGTTTTATTAAATTAAAACAGATGTTTTCCAAGACAATGGTTAATTATGTCATTACATTTTTAGCTGGGCAAGGTGGTGCACGCTTGTGATCCCTAGCTACTCAGGAGGCTGAGGCAGGAGGACTGCACATTGGAGAACTGGCCTGGGCAACTTAGCAAGACTCTGTCTCAAAATAAAATAAAATTTAAAAAGGGCCTGTAGATGGAATTTCATGGTAGAACCCTTGCCTAGCATGCACAATGCCTTGGGTTCATTCCCTAGTACCCAGAAGAAATTGTAGTAAAATATACATAACACAGAATTTGCCATTTTAATTTTTGTGTGTGTAGTACAGGAGATTTAACCCGGTTCTTCACACTGAGCTACATTTCCAACCTTTAAAAAATTTTAAAAAATGTTTTTGGAGGCTGGGGGGGGCGGTCTTCGGATGTTGCTAGGGAGGGATTCAAACTTGCAATCCTTACCTCATCCTCCCAACACCCGAAACATTTTGAAGTGCACAGTTTAGTAGTGGTATGTCTTTGCCCATTGGGGAAACAATCTCCAGAACTTTTTCATCCTGCAAAATTGAAGCTCTGTACCCATCACACAAGTGCCTGTTTCCTTCTCCTCCCAGTCCTTGGCTACTTTGTGTGTCTGTGGATTTGACCTCTAG